TTGAGGTTTGAGAACAGATAATAGCTGGGGGCCAAGTCTGGAGAATACGGTGGGTGAGCAACCAATTTGAATCGTAATTGGTCCAATTTGACCATCGCTTTCAAGGATGTGTGTGATGGTGCGTCATCGTAATGGTATAGAACTTTTTTCTTCGCCATATGGGACCGTTTTTTCTTTATTTCGTCGTTCAGTTTGTCCAATAACGCTGCATAATACTCTCTCGTAATTGTTCTTCCCTTCTGTAGGTAATCGATGAAGATTATGCCATGCGCATCCCAAAAAACGGAGGCCATAACCTTCCCGGCCAAGCGTTGGTCTTTTGGCCGCTTTGGTCGGCTTTCGTGGCTTTTCAGCCACTCTGCAGACTGCCTATTGGACTCAGGCATATGGTAATGGACCCACGTTTCATCCATCGTCACAAAACGTCGAAAAAAGTCCGCTCGATTACGCTGCAACAACGCCAAACCGACCGTTGAATCATCAACGCGCTGCTGTTTTTGGTCGATGGTCAGCAAACGCGGCACCCAGCTATCGTGCCGATAGCTTTTTCATCTCCAAAACATTGTGCAAAATATATCCCGCTCGTTTTTTTGAGATGCCCACGGCCTCAGTTAACTCGCGAAACTTCACTTTACGATCACTCAAAACGATTCGATGCACTTGCTTTGCGATTTCCGCATTTGTAGCTTCTTTTGGCCAGAGCGAGGTGCGTCTTCGGTGCTTGTACGACCCATTTTAAATTCACTAAACCACCGATAAACTGTTGTTCTCGAAGGAGCAGATGTGGGATAACATTTCTGCAACCATTTCAATGATTGTTCAGAAGTTTTTCCCATTAAAAAACAATGTTTGATCAAGATGCGATATTCCTGTTTTTCAATTTTTTTTACGAAGGCGAAAGTAACGCCACTTAAACGACGACTAGCTTGTAAACGAATGAACGAAATGTTATGAAACTTCATACATAAACTAGTGACAGATGAATATCTCGAAATGAACCATGTTCATTTTCTAGTGGCACCATCTATTGAAAAATCCCGGGACTTTTCAGCCCATGTAGTATGTGTAGAATGTGTTGTGGACATGACTCATAAATCAATTTTATAATATTTTTGTGTTTTATTTTTTTATTATTCGGTAGAAGTTCGGCAGAAGAAGTGCTAAGAGCAGATAAAACGAACTTATAACACAAAAAATGAATCAGGCGTTATTGTGACTTCCCATTTTATAAAATAATGAAAAATTTGAATGTATAGTTAATGATTTGAGAAATATAAAAGATGTTTGAAAATTGAATAAATTTTAATTCATTACATAATAATAATCGATTTATTAGGATCCTATAATGTAAATACACAATGAGTAAGAAACAATGTTTGTACCGAAGCTGGATCTTGAGTGCTTTAAATAATTTCATGTAAATTTATGTAGTCTCACATTTGTAGTCTCTTGAATTGCGCGCCAAATTGATTTTTCGGATTTATATTAGAGAAGAACGCAACTGAACTACCATAATAATATCAAATTACATTGGTTAGCAATTTAATAATTTGATGTTTAATTGGCCATTTAAAAAAGATCTTAATGTATCGAAAATCTGTAAATAAATTGATTGCGAAAAATATTACCTCGGCCGGGAATCATACCTGGATTTCTAGCATTTTTCCAGCATTTAATTAATTAATTAAAAATATATTCAATTAATTTAAAAAATAAAACGTCATTATATACAGTTAATGGTACAAAAACGTAGTCAGTAATTCTCTAAACGAAACCGAATATATTAAAAAAAAATTAAATTTATATTTAAAAGTGCATTACATTTACTAAAATGCATTTAGTTATAGCATTCAATCACCGTTATTATTAATATAGCTTATCATCTTTTCAGATATGCTTTTATAAATATATATGTAAAAATGACATCGATGGATTGATGGACTAATCTCCGAACGCATATCCAATTAAAAATATCTAATTAATCACGAAGATGAAGCTTTGAGAAATATATACGAATATTTATTTTGAGCAGTTATCTTTGACATATTTAAAAGATTTACTTAAAACTTTAGCCGAAAATCTTATAAGAATCGTGTCTCGACGATAAGCTATATTAACACTTGCTAATTCACACCAGCACTTTTTTTTAGTTGTAAAACTAGTCCTAAAAAAAATCTATAGTATAATTTTAAACTATCATCCGTCTGTAAAAAAGTTAAGGATCACGACTTTACTTTCCATGCATAATAGTCCTTAATATCCTTTGAGCAAGCTATAAAGTAAACCAAAATTATTCATTGTCAGCACCGAACGAAAATTAGAACCGAGAATTTTGAAAAACAATATAGGTATATATCTTAAAGTACTATTTTTCCTTTTGAAAATGTGCAATTTTATAAATTCTAATAATTACTATTCTAATAATTATTAAAAAGATGATGACCATTGAAAAAAAAAACATAATTTTTTTCAGGATTTCAATTTAAAAGATCGTTTTATTATACTAATATAATGGTTTTCGATATTTATACAATTATTTCTTTTCTTTTTTCCTTCAAATGAAAAAAATGGATCAAATTAACTTTATTGTGAAGAAGTTATAACCGCCACAATGATGCAAATTCGCACCTGTGTGTTAGGTAAAGATCGCGAAACACGTGTGCCAACGAAGTGTTAACAATAATAGTGATTGAGTACCATAATTAAGTAAATGCATTTTAATGACCGTAATGTGTTTTTAAAATATATAATAACTTTAATTTTTAATATGTTTGTTTTCTTTTAGAGAACTGCTGACTAACTATCCTTGTACCACTGACTGACTGTACATAATGATGTTTTATTTTTAATATTAATTGAAAACATATTAAATTAAACAATAAGAATCTCAATAAAAATCTGGATCATACATTTGAAAATTTAACAATAAGGAATAGAAATAATAGCTATAAAATGGTAAAAACTAGATCTTTAATGCTTAAATAATTTAATCTGAATTATTATACTATGTATAGAGCGCTTCTGATATCTGCAAATCAGTAAGTCGGGTTGTCTATATGCCTATAGGGAGGGGCACGCTTTACTGGTAATGCGGAATAAGATTAGATCGTAAGAGAGTCCGGCAGGGAATGAGATAAGAGAAATTGAATTTTACATTCTGGTATAGCGTAAAATTCAATAATATAATATATGTATTTAATAATACAAATAATATTTGACTTAATCTAACATAAATGAAATTTAATAAATATTTAAAATATATAATTATAAATTATAATTATATAATTTTAAATATATAATTATGTAATATCACGAATTAAATTGACAAACTTATCTTAATAATTTGATGCTAAATCAGGCATTCTATTAGAAAGATGTTAATATATTGAAAAACTGTAAATACATTTATTTCGAAAAATATTACTTCGATTGGAAGTCGATTCCGGATCATTTGTATTTCATACGAACAAAAACCTTAGCTTCAAGTCTAAAGGTTTAGGATGCTTATACGGAATACAAGAGATCCGGATTTGACTTCCGGTCGAGGTAATATATTTCGCAATAAATTTATTTACAGTTTTCCAGCATATTAACATCTTTCTAATAGGATGTTTGAACATCAAATTATTAAAATAAGTTTGTCAATTTAATTTGATATTATTATAATAGTTTAATTGCGTTTACAAATCCGAAAAACTAATTCGGCGCGTAGTTCGAATAACAAATATGATATATACATATATAGTATATAGTATGTAGTATATGCTATTCAGATTGAATTATTTAAATATTAAAGATTTAGTTTTGATCTTATGGTCTTTACTTCTATTCCTTATTGTTTAATTAATTAAAGTTTATTTACATTCCAAATATATTTTTATATTTCTCAAGAAAGGAATACAATAATATTTTACATAATATACTGTTATACTTGTATACATATAATAATTTGCTTACCTCGGCGGTGCAACCGTTTGTTGTCGTATGTGTGCAGGGATTAGGTCCGCAGTTAGTGCAAGCAATAATTTCGTTCGGTCCAGTAGTACCACCAGTAGCTCCGCCTTCCCTCTTCTTTTTACCCTACGACAGGGTCTCCATAGAAGACACTTATATTTTTAATTATAAATTCTTTTTATTATTTATTATTTATAATATTGTATATTGGATTGTCCAGAAAGTTTGTGTAATTTTTTAAAACTCAAAATTGTATATACAATATCTTCGTTAAAAGTGAATGAAATTTAAATTCAAAAAAAGAATTTTAAAGCTTGAAATCTCTATTTTTTTCAAAAGATTACTATGTTTTTTGAGTCTTTGAATTTGACAAGTTTTATATTCAGAAAACTATGAATTAAAAAAAATGAAAAATTTTCTTCTTATTGGGTATGTCATGTATTAAAAAAAATTTGCGAAAAATATTTTCGACTACCTATCGTAAAAACTTCAAATTATCCCTACAAAATCGTTTTTAAAAATGTTTCTATTTTTTGTTATTAAATTACTCGCGAACTAAAAAGGAGCATTGTGATTGAGATTGTTCATAACTCTATTAAAAATCGTAGTACTACAATTAAAGAAATAGATTTTTAAAGCTGAATTTTCCTCTATCAAGTAATGTATAATAATTGCCAATTTAAAAAAATATAGTATATATAAATTTGAGTTAAAAATATGACATTACTTTTCTTGTAACCATTGCGCAATGCTTAGAAGGACAATAATGCTACCTTTTTAGCATTGTCCAATGTAATTTAAAAGAATAGTAATGTCACACTTGTTTCAAATTTATATATATTTTACGTTAAAAAAATTAGCAATTATATTATTTGATAAAGCAAAGTTTCAGCTTTAAGAATCTGTTTCTTTAATTGCGATATTATGATTTTTAATAGAATTATAAGCAATCCAAATCACAATAGTCCTTTTTATTTAATTCGCGAGTAACTCAAGAAGAAAAAGTCGTAGGAACATTTAAAAAATGATTTTGTAGAAAAAATTTCAAGCTTTTATGATAGATCGAAAATTTTGGAACATATTTTTTTTTACGTATAATTTTATACTAAAGAAAATAGTACGAACTTTCTAGAACAACCTAATACATTATAAAATATTGGGACACAATCCAATATTTTATGATATATTATAAACTTAAAGAATAATCTACCCTTTTTATTTATCCTCTTTCTCATCTTTTCTCTTTTTAGATTCTCTCCTTTTTTTCAAAAATTTCCACATATGCATTAAGCTTCGATTTTTCACATTTTTTCTATTGTATTGTTTATTAATTCTTTTACCTCTCTCATTTTTATACAGGGTGTCTCAGGATTTAACAGATAATCTGATCATATTCTATACAGTGGAAATAAGAAAAAAGATGTATAAAATTTGGTTAGAAATGCTTTATTGCTAAGTTATAAAATAAATTTGGAAATTGAACATTTTGATGGCATTTTAATGAAACATTGGCATTTTAAAGGCAGTTACTATTTCGTGCGACGATGGAAATTTATTTAACAGCTGTTCTTTTCGACCATTGTTTCAAGACTGAACAAATATCATGTTCACACATAGGTTAAAATAATATGGAATCGTTTAAAGATAGTAAATGTGATGTGAATATATATACAAGATAAACACGTTCAATCTTTCGGTACACGAAATGTTCATTACCATATTTTGCGCAATAGATAATTTGTTGTTTCCTATTTCAATATTTGTTCTGTTTCAATATTTGTTTATAATTTTATAACAAAGAATATCTAATCAAACTTCATATAACATTTTTTTATATCCACTTATAAAATATATTTCGTAGTTTGTTCATTAAATTCTAAGACTTTTGTATATAAATAGAGTAAACAATTGTAAATATAATCTAAACAATTAATAAACGCGAAAAAAGCAATATTATGATACTATTGATATGTGTCATAATGTTGCGTTACGTTATAGCACAAACTAATTTATCCAGCACACGTATTCAAAATCGGAATGTAAAACGTCTTGTGTTCCGATCTTGGACATACATATTTAGATTTTTATCAGAAAAAAGTATTGTAATGAATTAATAACCCGTGGCGCTTCTTATAAGCAAACTAATAATAACGTAAGCGTAAACTAGGTTTTATTAAGAAAAAGCAATTAAGCTTGCACATGAAAGCATGTGATATTTTTGGAAAAGGATGCACTGGAAATACGAATTAAGTATCTCCAGTGCATCTTTTTCCACGATATTAATACGCTGATTTAGCGGAGGCGTTTTGCTGGTAATCGTTATTATTTTAAAATCGTATTGAGTACTGTCGGTGAAGGTTAATATCATACGACATAATGAATTGCGAAAAGACATGAATTAAATATTGAAAATTGCTGAGGTTGAGTTATCTTATCCTCCTGTACTGTGAAAATCATTCACGAATGAATCGTTGTTTTTTATGTCTTTTTCCCTCAGTATACAGAATGTTCCACAATTCGCAATCGAGAGAAATTTTAATAACATATTCTGATTTATAAATAAGATTTATAAATAAGATAAAATTCTAATACCAAAATGTCAATGCTGCAATAGTTTTTAAATTAGTAATGATCAAAGTTAATTATTCATACATGGAGAAAAATATAATGTACACTCGAATTCTAATCCATTTTATGAAATTTTCAAGTAAATATAGAGACAGGCGTCTTATGTACACTTATATACAATTTTCTTTATATTTCTAGTAAATGAGTGATTGTTGATTAGTCATAATAATGTAAAACTATACTTTACGAAATGTAAAAAGTACTTTATAGTATGGCTATACAACGATCGTTTATCAAAAAAATTAAGTAAATTTTACATAAATGGACGCCTGTTCCTATATGGACCTATCAATTCCACACAATTTACTAGAATTATAGCGCATATTATTTAAAATTTTGGTCAGTGTATGTGATATCGACTGGATTTGAACCTAAGATTTTTGGATGGTAGCTTGACAAACTAACACTGAGCTATAATCGCATGCTTATCTAGACAATTTGGCATTCGATTGTTATTTGATCCGTCATATTTCGCGCGAATCTTCAGTAATTTACTTTATCAAGTATCTTTTGCCTTAGTGCTGACAAAATTTATTTCATTACGCAATAAAAAATACAAGTGTGCAAAGTGTTGAGATTTGTTTGTGTTACAGTTTTGAGAATAGAATATGATTTACTTTACTGTAAGGTAACAATTACTTGAATGCAATATTTTTCGAGAATAGAATCCTACACGAAGAAAAGTGTAAAGTAATATACGCTAGAATCAGGGCATGGAAGTTACTACAAGTTATTTTGGTAAATAGAAGTTATTTTGGTAAATATGCCGAATAGGGGAGTCAGCTCCGATGACTTTGACCTTGATATATTAGGTGTTGGAATTAATTCGTAGCGTTTTACAAGTGATGGGAAGTACTTTCATTAATGTATTTTTTAATGCTCATGTGAAATAAATAACATTCTTTCATTAAAAAACGCTACGAATTAATTCCAACACCTAATATGTTTTAAGATTACTCTATAACTTCCACCAGGTTTTAGCTGTCGCTTCATTCATTAAAAGTTATTAACAAAAGAAGTTTGAAAAATAATATCTCTTTTCTATCATATAAAAAACATAAATTTTCTGTTTTAAAGCATACTTTACAACTTTTCACGCGAAGCGACTTTGGCAGAGAAGTGAAGTGAATGTCATTTCTCATGGAAATCGTGCACTCCTAAGTAGGTGGGGGAGGTGAGAGTCACTTCGCATGGAAGTCGTGCGCCCTTAAGCAGGGGGGGGGGAGGTGGAGTAGTAGTCGTATCGCGTGGAAGTCGTGCGCCTCTAAACAGGGAGGAGGTGAGATGAGAGTCGTTTCGCGTGGAAAAAAAATACTTTCTCGAGCAACGGTAACGAATTACTTTAAAAAATCGGTAACTAGTAATAGTAACTTTTTCTACTCAGTAACAAGTAATAGTAACTTGTTACTTTTAAAAAGTAATTTTCCATTCCCTACTAGAATTCTAGTAAATGTTATGGAATTGGCAGCTTTATTACGTAACGGTACAGTACTGTAAGGTATTTTTTTACATTTTGTAAAGTAAAATAAATAACTTTAATAATATACATCTCAATAAAATTTATTTTCGATGCGTATTTCTTTTGCTTTAGCGCTAACGTAATCTGAAGTACAGTAATGTCTCGGTGCTAAGTCCGGATTTACAATAGATTTTTAAGCTTTAAACTATAAGCAATGAACGAATCACAGTCGATTATTCTCTTCATATTCAACTCTAAATTGGTCAATTTCTTATGACTTAAGGTTTAAAATAGCTATTGTAGATCCGAACTAAGACAAGGACAATGACATGATATAAATACAAGAGTATGTTCATCTAGTAGTACAGAAATTTGAAATAGGGGATGTCACCAAACGTATGTCATCATCGACTGTTTCCGGAACGATTCGAGCAGGTTCGGCTCCGTAAAATATGGCCTTAAGGGACAATAATAGACTATATAAGGTGCTATTAAGATCTGTAAGTCCGGATGTACAATTGGTGTTTTAAACCTTAAGCAGTAAAAATTTGACCAATTATAGTCGAACACGAGGAGAATAATTGATTATAATTCGTCCATTTCTTATGGTTTAAGGCTCAAAAACCTATTGTAGATACAGACTAAAAGCCCTAAAACTCTTAACTGAGATAAGCGACTCTAATTTGCCCTATCAGCTCTTTTAGTGCTTATGTAGGCACTACATTCTAATAACGCCTATTTGGGATCCTAATAGGCTATAATAGGCTGTATGGGCTGTAGATCTTATGAGCTCTATATCGTTGATTTTGGTTTTTTCTTAAATTTCAGTTTATTAAATATAATTTCAATCATTTTTTACGTTATAATTTTTAATGTAATTGATTTATTTCGAAAGCAGGATGTGTAAAAATGACCAAAATTAGCCCTGAATGGACACCTTTAAAACCTATGTAGCTGTCATTTTGGAAGTTCATACATTCATGAAAAAATGCTTATTTATCTAGGAAAACTTGGAAAATTTTCCAAAAAT